CCCATTAACCTATAAAAGCTTGTTAAAATCTGAAAGCGGAGACTTGTATAGGCTGTTCTCCTCATGACTGAAAATACTTAATGAACATATTGAATAAGTAATTATTTTTAAAAAATTTGTATCATATTGTTAGTTACATAGAACTTATGAAAAATAATCGACAGTTTCTTCTTCTATTTATTAATTCAAGGGTGAATTAAACAGTATCCCTGCCTCTTCTTTAAAACCGATTAGAATAGATAAGTAAATAAATCCATTGAGAAATATGAAAAAAAATATACTTTATAAATTTATTAATCACTTTTTAATGTAATCCTTATATACTCTAATGACACAGTATATTTTTAAATTTTGTTGGAAAAGAATTTCGTGCCTTAATATTGCAACATACCACAACTACATGTTTTATTTCTTTATCTGATTCCCTGGATATTTTTTTAATATCGTAACGTACAAGAGACTCCATTGATGGCTTCTTGCTATTTAAATTGTATGTGGTTGCGGCACCAAGGTAAGAAACTCTGTTTCAATGAAATTTAAAAAGATCGAACGATTGTAAACATATTGCAATAAATGAGGATTACGTTAAAAAGTGATTAAAAAATTTATAAAATATCTTTTTACGTTTTCCAATTAATTTTATTTATTAATCTTAGAGGAGCAGAGATATTACGTTTCGATCCATCTTCATAAAGTAGTAAACTGATATTACTCCGCTAAATCCCTCACATTTAGAATGCATTATCCTAACCCTCTGTTTTTAAACTAATTAAAATAATATTATAATCAGCAGATTTTACTTTTTACGAGGGGATCATGAACATCCAAAATGGATACTCATTTTTTCAGAAATTCACGTGTATACATTCACAATGAAATCAGGCCTCCCCAAATTTCCGGGTTCTCGGCCTCTCCCGTAGGCTCCCTCAGGTTCCCGGGTTCCGGGATTTCTGGCCCCCATTGTGGGCTTTCCCTTCCCCGAACTTCCGCCTCTCCCTGTAGACGCTCCCCAGGAGAATGACGATGTAGGGGAGGAGGCCCATACATATAGGTCGGTGGCAGCCCACCATTTCGGTATAAACGTTTACGCGGCAAAATTTAAATTGATATTTACTTTGTTTTTCGTACTTTTCAGTTATAATACTAAATTTTATATACGATATTTTTGGGTTCTCCTACATCTCTGTTAACTAGTCTGATTATTTATTAACCAATGTCTTCTGATTCAACAATAAACATTTCAGCCTAGACGGTCAGAAATATAAAAAAGCTCGAGAATGGCAAACTGGAGTGGTGAATGCTCAATGGTTAACGGATTTGTTATGCGGACAAATAAACGCTATCCATCAAACCGAAAATCCAAAATATCAACAGTACAGCCTGAGCAATCCTTTCAGATTGGATTATTCCCTAGTACCTCATTTAATGGGTATAGTAGTCTTTGCCAAATCATTTTTCTTTATCTTCTCTCAAATATTTTAAATTGATTAATTCCATTGTATTAAAATGATGTTTCTTTCAGGTGCATGGAAAATGCCGATAAATATTACTCAGGAGTCGTATGATAAAGTGAAACAGGTTGGTCAGGGTCCAAATTCGATACGAAAATACAAGAAGCCACGATTAGATGTACCGTTGCTAAACAAAGACCTACATTTGTTGGGATTAGAGGAACCAATAGTTGTTAGCAATCCTGATCCACCAGCTCCAGATAAACAACCGAGAATATTATTCTCTGGCATTAATCCTAGGAAACATGCAAAGGTAATGTTCAATATGCTGATGTCGTACAAGCCTTGCAAGCCTCAGTTTTGGGTAAACTTCCAACAAAATTATATCAAGCTGTCAACTAAAGTTATCTGTTTTGTTTTGACTAAAAATTACTATTTGCTGCATTTTTAGTATACAGGAAGATTTTAATAACTGGAATTGGCTATAGTTTTAAAACAATTAAAGTTCAGTGGTATAAGAAGATTTATCTTTCTATGACTTCAATTTTTTAATAACTGTACCGGTGTAGAAAATATGCAAATGCACACTTATTTGGATGAGACTGTATATTATTTTTTATGTAAATAATAAAAATGACTGAAGCAGTATGATTTACTAACATGATTTATTCGTTTAACAGAGAATTCGAGAATTAGGTGGTGCGCTGGCAGCCAGTTGGCGAGATGCGACACATCTCGTGATGTCAACACCAATGAGAACTGTAAAATTATTGTGTTGTCTGTCACGTTGTAAATATATTGTCACGTTACAGTGGTTACTAGATTGTTCCGCAAGGAACACGTTTTTAGAAGAAAGCGGTTACACGCTTGGGAATCCAGAGTTCGAGAAGAATTTTGGTTGTAATATTGAAAAGGCTTTGGCGAGTCCCAACCGAGGAACAGTACTTAAGGTAATAATACTTGTTTAACCCTTAAGTACCATGGTCAGATTTGACCTTGTCAAAATTAAACTTCAAAGCTAGGTAACGATAAACGTTATTCAAAGAATTATTTACTATTCTTTGATATTAGTAGTACTTCAACTAAAATATTTTAGAATATTTAAATACTTTTAAAAAATGATATTTTCTTAACTTTAAAGTAAAAATGATAAAACACTGTTATTTATACATTCAAAACTGATATTGCATACATATTTCTAAGCCATGGTAGTTACGAGTTAACTTAATTAGTTAATCATAAATATTATCAGATGTCAACGAAACACGAATACAGTACTGAAAATATTTATTTCATCACCTTTAAATTTATATACATGGTACAAATAATTTTAATAGCAATATTACTCATACTTCTTTTGTTCAAGATAATAAGCTATTCATTTTTGTAATAAATATGTTTTAATTTATTTTGGAAAGATGTATAACTATTTTTCCAAAAAATATAACAAGTGTATTGAATTGCTCAAAAATACATTTCTTTAGTACTAATAATAAAAAAGATATGTGCTTAATATTCAAATGATGCAATAAAATTTCCAGTACTGTAAATGTTGAAATTTAAAAACATTATCTTAATACCTTATCGACCGAAAATTTACTAATGAACTTTTGGTCATTAACAGTTATTGAGTGACAAATATTTAATAAGTCTTCGATCGTTAATGATTGATCTAAGTTTATTTATTTAATTATAAAACATATTCATCTATGTTATCTGCAATTGGTATATAAGGTGTTAATAATGCAAGGTTATTAATTTGATAAGTTTTCTTTATTGAATAGGGTAAAATATTTTATGTTACACCAAGTGTAATACCCTCGCCACCGGCGATGGCAGAAATAATTGAAAGTGCGGGTGGAACGATGGAGAAAACACGAAGAGCAATCTCACAGATTCAAGAATTGAATAGTAATAAACTAACTTATGTCATCGTCACTCACGAAAACGATCTTTATCTCCTATCCGATGTTTTACGTGCAAATATCAGTAAGTGGTTCCTTGTCAACCTTCCAATTGATCTTCCAAGAAAAACACAACTGTATCATTGTTCAGAAGTATTTGCGCATCCATGCTTTAAGATTTCTAATTTTTGGTATAAATTATTAGAAATCTTTGAATGCTGTTTCATGAAAACCAGTGATGTTTTTTATGCAATTTGTTAAATTAGAAAAATGTTAAGAATACAGAGCTCTACCATTCAAGGGAAGGGGCCTGATAAAGTTTCTTTAACCTGTAATTTCCATTCTCATTATTTATCAATATATTTTGATGGTGTAAGACATTATGCACAATGAATACTGATGAATATTTTAAACATTATTTAAGAAACTATATAAAAAAACATTAGTCTTTTTGATTAGCTTTAGACACTTTGTTACTGTGACAAACAAATATTGCCTGTTTGATGTTTTTCACAATATTGTACATGAGTGGTGATGAGTAGATACTTTTGAGCGATAGTGTATATGAAAAATGACATTTATCTTCTTACGTTAACAATATTTGTAGGTGTGTTCAGTGCAGAAATTGTATTAGGAGCAGTTGCACGACAATACTTCCAAGCAGAACAAGTCTAAACAGAGAGCAGTTTTCAAAACACTGCATTTTAATTCCTGATACGAGCTTACTAAATTCTTAGTGAGCTATTTTGGAGATGACAAATTTTTGCTTACCTTCTTCAATGGGACAATAAAGAGCATAATTTTATGATATAGGAAGAGATATTTTCACTAATAACATTCCAAACCTGTCCTTTCATGATTCACTTTTCAACATAACATATTTTATAGCTGCTTGAAATCAAACAATTTAATAGGATTGTTTTTCAACATATGGATATACTCTTATCAATCATTATCAATCAAGATATAATATTTTAGAATTTTGTAATTATTTTTTTCTACAATACTGTCTCCCTTTAGCTGAATATACTTCTCATCTTTTATCAAATATATAATATACACATATCATTCTAGTTTGTATTGTTGTACACTTATTTTCTTCCATTTTATATGTTCCACTTACACTTTAGAAAATGATTTATGTGTAAGAGTGTATAATTGCAAATAAAACCAGAAATACGTATCATTGTGTCCTCTTACTGTTCGCGAACAAATCATCGGAATCATTTGTAAGAATGTTTGTACATCATGTGAATTGTATAAATATGGTTTATTCATACTTAACAGAATTACTTTATTGTACAATAAATCAAATGAACGTAAAAAAAAAAAATACAAATGTTTATTATAAAGTAACAAAGTATGACTTACAAATTTCTATTTAAAACTATGTACAATATTACTTAATGATACATGGGATAACTATTAAAGTGGAGAAGGAGAAACGGTTTGACTATATGCAAATGTGATCAATTTATTTTACAAAATGTAATGAATGAAAACTATGTCAATAATAAATAGTACGTTTGCGAATAAAATATAAGCACTATTAAATTACATTATTCTTACAAATTAATTTGATCTTTGTACAAATTAGATCATCGATATCGTAAATACTGATACGAAAAGCAATTAATTCAGCACCATTGAAATATGATTAAAACAAGAATGTTTAATATTACGAGAAGAGTTGCAGTTATTTCGATCCTTCCATTAATATGACAAAATATATTTAAAGACACCGGTACAGAAAGGAATAACAATATCGTCAATTAATCGACCTATCGATTCAGTATCTTACAAATTACAATCAACTATTCAAAGATTTTGATATCGTTAAAATAATTTATACAAAAAAGCTGGTCGACTAGCATATTTATTGTTACAGATCGTTAATCTACGTGGAGGTCTGGTTTCGTATCCAGTCCAAATGTTTGGCGACGTCCACATAGACAATGTATTGCTTTAGATCGCAGGACATAGTACTGCTGTCCAAAAGTGATCTCGAGACGACCCCTCGAAGATAAAAACGTTCCGTTTTGCTATCGAACATCACGAAGCCACTTCCGCTGTCGCCGTTGCAGGGACCACTTCCGTTTCGTAAACCGGCGCAAAACGTCCGGTTCGAGGTAAATGAAACGAAATTTTCGTTGCTCCAGAGGCAAACTTCCTGTAATTTTGTTCGTAAAAATGTCAATTTAATTTGAGTTGTAATTGGAATTATCATTCCATTTAAAGATAAAGCATTATAGAGAGTAATTGGAAAATGGATGAACTTTGGTATGTACTCTGAGTTGCATTGAACTTGTCGCAGTGAAGTTGGCTACAAATTTACGAACACATTCACGCCGCGTCGGTGAGTCGATCTCGTCCATCGTCTCACCAACGCAGCGTGGATGTGTTAGTGAATTTGTAGCCAACTTCATTGCGACAAATTCAATGCAACCCAGTGTACATACCATATTCTATACATATACCAGTGACTACATATGTAAAAGACTGGACATGTCATTGTTCCCGATGGGTCATAATTTAGGGGGTCCCTAACACCCCAAGCCATCGGTTATTGCGCCATTTATATAAAAGTAGTGCAAACTATTCTTTAACTTACCGACTGCCAAAGGGTCGATTACCGACTGTCGGAAATTCAGTCGATAAGTCGGTAAGTTATTGAGTAGTTTCCGCCGCTTTTGTATAGATGGCGCAGTGGTGGAACTTAAAAAATACTTAATTCTAGGCGGTCTTAAAATATAAGTTTGTCAAATAATTATTCTAATAATTTTTCGGTCTTGTGCTGATTTTGTCTTATTTGTCAAAAAATAGAATCAAAGGGAGTCGAAATTGTGTCTTTTCAGTTGTCAGTGCAAGGTATGATAAAAAAGGGGCTGATAAAACAAGCATAACTATTGCCTGGAAATCACTAGAACTCTCACAATCATGATCCATCGAAAACAAAGGGATATCCAGTCTTTTTGCATATGTAGTCACTAAATACCAGTCATACTATGCCAATAAAATCCTGGCCAAGCTGTGCGGATAAATAAAACGCGTTTCAATTTAAAATTATTATACATAAAAAGAACGCTATTACAAATCTGTATCTAACATTAAGAAGAAATAAAAGAAGAAGTTAAACATTGAATATCCTATTAAACATTTATTATCTCATCATTAGAATTTCAATTTTGAAGCACATTCGTGCGACAAAACGCATTTGTATACGCACATATAGAGCAATGAACATAGCACAATTTAAAACGCGTTGTATCTCTATCTTTGAAAGTTGCTTACACGTAACGCGATCCTAGGTAGATTTATAAATGAAGTTAAATTTACTTTTTCCGTTACTTAAAATGAACGAAACAGGATTTCTACATATTTATAATAGAATGAATCATACAATACTTCTTCTCCGCAATTATACACATGTACATATGTTAATATGAATATTGTATTTTTCCTTTCTTATATTTACATATGAATCATTTCGGTCGAATGGTTTCAACATTAGGATGTTGAGTTATTTATATTCAAATTCAACATTTATACTACGAAGTTATTTATATAATTTCATTCTGCACGAGATTCGGCTCTTTTTAATCCTTTTCACGATTTTGCGTCGTTAACAAATAAGTCAAAAGGAATGCTAATTTGATGGAAACAGGAATATAAAAATTCAGTAATAAATCAATGTTTAAATCAGTTTTCTTTTTACCTCTGCGCGCAATTCGAATTTTAATTATAATCTGTGTGTATCAAATATTTTATTCAATGAACACATGTTTCAAGTAACTTCAGTAAAACTTAATAAATAAAGGGGAAACTTCCGAAAGCCCCCCCCCAAGGCAGCCAAAGTTCGGATTTATAGTAATAGAGGGACGAGAAAAACTAAACTCAAAATCAAAGAATAAAAGTTTTAAAATTTGAATCGTTGAGCGGTGGAAGAGTGATGAGTGAGCATTCTGGTTCTGCTGAGAGAGCACGTGAGAAAGCAAAGGACTCTCCGAGGGAGCACGAGTGCCACTACGCAGACTCACTCCCTCCTGCGCATGCGCAGTTTGAATTTCAAGCCGAATGTGACTATATTTTATATGTATATCTCGAGAACGGTTTATTTGCCGGACTTGAAAATGGTCTCATTCGATTGACCATTCGGTTGACCACCCCGGGGGGGGTGGGGCTTTCGGAAGTACTTAATCCTAAATAAATATGTCTTATTAAGAAGTTACTAAATATATATTGAACTTTCAACTTGGATCGATTTAACCTGAATGGGATGCCAAAATTAAAATGTACTTACTTCATGAAACTTATTTTATGACAGATTTTAAAAATAAATAAGTAAAATATTTTAGGCAGTTATTACTTTGATAAAAGAAAATTTCAAAAAATGAAAAATATTTTGAACATGAATGATGGTTATAAAGAAATGTTTGTTTATACTCCAAAAATTATATTCCATTTTCCATCTGACTCGATATTTTAATATAAATAAAATAATTTTGGGGGAGGAGTCAGCTGATCTCTCTCTTAAGAAATTAATTTTTTTTGTTAATAAATATCATTGTTAGAAATAAACAAAAATCAAGAAAATATTCTCAATATTATCATAATGCTGATAAGCTATAAAATAAAATTTGTTGAGCCAAATTACAAAGTTCTAAACTATGTTTTAACACGTTTGTTAAACAAAACAGTGGTACCTATCAAGGATCGTTGTTATGGGAGAGTATTTTACTCTTAATATTCAATCATTGGTAAAATTTCAATGTACTGCGTACTGGATAAAACCTTGGTATCTCATATGTCTATCCTTTTTTATTAAAAAAAACTGTTTTCATTTTGTAATAGAGAGGTCAGCTGCCCCTTTAATCAACCTAATCATAAGTGTACTACTGATTCAGAAGCTAACTTTACCTGAGATACTATCGGTGATCTGGTCTGCCGAGGTTCTTGAACATAAGGATTCCCCAATTCATCACGTCCCCAGCCCACCACGTATCCATACTTCCCCACAACGCTCTCCAGATTGATGGCTCCTGACCAAAGACAAATTGGCTTAATCACCGCGCTGTATTCCACCCTTTCTCGTAGAATCAACACGGCTAGGTCAGCATCCGCGTTACCACTGGTATTATAATCAGGATGAAGCCTGTATTCGGCGACTTCCCGGTTTACTGAACCCTTCTCTCTCCAATCTCGAAGACGATACCGACCCAAGGACACCAACAATGTTCCAGAAGGTAGGTTCGTGTCATCTAATTGAAAACAGTGCGCAGCTGAAAAAAAAGGATATATCTAAAAATGCTGTCGGTAAGTCTTTCAAACTGATTGTCGTTAATAATAAGATTATTCGTCTTAATGTATAGTATTTTTTATGTTGAAACAAGTAATCATTCTTAAACATTTGTGTTTATAACTGTTTGTAATTGTTTAAATAATTTCTTGTTTCAACATGAAAAAATATTATACATTAAGACGAACAGTTTTTGTTGATAAAGTTTTTTAATATCTTTAATGGTTTTGGAGAAAAGAAGAAAAAACGTAAAACAGCCGAAATTTTAAGGGTGATTTTCATCCCCTTAGATTGAAAACAGACAGTAAACGAAAATTGCATTTTAATCAGTAGGATATCCCCTACATATTTACAATGTGTCATAATTTTTTGAATTTCCTTGTGAGTCACGATTGACTCCACCATTCAAGGAAAACTTAACAAATGGTAACCTTAGAGATGCCAAAAAAAATTACACTATGTTGTAATATAATTAACTTACCTGTAATAATATGAGTATTAGTCACCAATGTGCCCGCGCACTGGAACATAAAGTCGAATTTCACAATAAAAATTGCAACCAGCCAGGGCCAATGACCAGGGGATGCTTTCACACCTCCGGCAACTAAAGGGTTAATCTTGATCGTGTTACTGCTACGTCCACATTCGAAATTATTGTTTCCGTTGCTGGGAGGTGGCTTAGGTGTACCATTTGGTACCACTGTGTTCGGCGGTAAAAAGGGTTCAAAAATTGGCGTTTCAGGCGAAACAGGCGGAGAAGGTGACGTATCTATTTTTGGATAATTTGGAGGTATATTGTCTACCTTGGGATAATCTGATGATACGTTATTTACTTTCGGATAATTTTGAGATACGTTATCTATCTTTGGATAATTTGGAATCATATTCCCTTGATCCTCGGAAAGGGGCAATACCCCCGGTGGATACAGGGTGTGGTTCAAGACGATAGATGTTACAATTGGTCCGGTTGCTGGAACAAAAACAAAATTTAACATTTTATAGAACATATTTAGTTAGTAGCAAATTTTTACAGTTAATATTTGCATTTTCGAAAAATATACAGATTTATGAAATAAATACTAGGCGAGTTGCATAAAGTGTTACAAACTATTATCTTGGAAAATATAGCAGTTATCGACCTAATTCTCTTTTTCAATTAAATGGTACGAAGTGCCCGATCATGTTGCTTGCCACGCGCAACGTAAAAGAAGCAAAATGTATATTTTTATGTAAGATGTTAAGATAGAAAATATTGAACTTGATTCTTCTTATTTTTGGGCGATGAGAAAGGTATCGCTGCCACCAGTTCTGACCGCGTATGACGCGGAAGCGTCCTCTACGGTCAGAACAAATTAAAAGACGGAAATTTAGATAGTAATTATTTCCGTTGGGTTCGTCAGTGTTCTGGGTCCCATATGGGTCCCTCCTTGAAACTTTGTGTTGGGGTGCGTAGATTTGAAATATAGAATGATACAAGAAATGATACAAAACGGAATTTGAAAGAAATATTAATACAGTTTAGTGTGCAAAAAGAAAGTAAATTTAATTCAAAATAATTATTGAAGCTAGCAGAAAACTGAATTCCAAACGACTATTGTCTGAATACATACTGAATAGATTCTGTTTGAATACTGTTAGTTACTATTAAATGAATTCAATTAAAACAATACTGATTTACAAGGGTAAAGGTGCTTAACCTATTGTTTGATATAAATGTGATTGAAATCGGAAAAAGATGTTTAGCCTTTGGTTTACAATGAGACCTTCTAATATAATATTAACCGGATTTGGAATGTAAAAATGACAGTATAGACTCGTTATAAGCAAAACGCTCGGGACCGGATTTTTGCTTATAACGTGTAGTTCCACCATTGTTTGATATTTTGCCGACTGCTTCGAACGTAGAAAAGGACAGCGAGTGAAAAAGAGAACGGAGCGAAAACAAATCGCTCTATGTCGGTTAATCCAATAAAATGAAACTATCATTTTATAATGAAATGCAAATATTTATATAATCTAATAAAAACTGGTTATTGTGATACGGTAGCTGATTGAACAGATACTTCAGATAAAACTTATGTCTAATTTACAGTAAAACCTAGATAAATGCAACGAAAGAATGCTTGGATAAGTGCAACATCGCTATCCCCTCCACTTGGGGGGATCCCCCTAGACGAACCGAGCCACTCGACGAGGAAACCGTGTAATATGATCCGACCGTAATATCGGTGTGACTAATACTAATTGAACGATAAAACTTTTTTATTTTTAACTTTTTCCTAATGAAACTTTTACTAACGCATTTGTGAGATGTTTCTGATTAAAATGACACCAAACACGATATAGTTTGAATTATATTTATAAACAATAGTAATAGAATAAACAACATAGAATTGACACCACGACTGAATATAAATGATGTTGGCTGAATACAAAAGATGTGTACGGACGCAGAATCGACATCTCGCTTGGATAAATGCAACATTAAATGCCCAGAATCGACACCTCGCTTGGATAAATGCAACATTAAATGCCCAGAATCGCCACCTTGCCTGGATAAATGAAACCTTTGAAACCAGAGCCGACACCGCGACTGGTTTTGTTTTCGATCTCTGTTCCTTTTCGCCAACCTTTAACATCAATTTTAGCAAGTAATTATAATTGAAACTATATATCGTGTTTGGTACCATTTTAATCAGAAAAATTTAACCTATGCGCTAGTAAAAGTTTCAATAAAAAAAAGTCAAAAATAAAAAAGTTTTATAGTTGAATTAGTATTAGTCACACCGATACGTTTCGGCTCTTTCCTTTGATCATCGGACATCTCTCTTTCCGCCACTGTCTCTCCCTTTCTACGTTCACGCTTGGCTGGTCGTCGCGTGTAACCCGAGATTTGACACCTCGCTTGGATAAATGCAACCACTGGGTCCCAATCTTGGTTGCATTTATCCAGGTTTTACTGTAATAGAAATGATGATACATAATAAGTTGTTTCAAGTAAATATGGTCCGAATTATATCGTGTTTGGTATCATTGCAATTAGAAAAATCTCAGAAATATCATGGAAAAAGTTTTATAAAAAAAAAATGAAAAATAACGAAGTTAGGTTATTACATTAGTGTTGCCTCACCGATATCTGATCCCAGGTCATGTTACGCTACTCCGCGAGTGAGCTTCGCAGCGTCTCGAGGGGTATACCCCCCAGTGATGGGGATGGTTTCTTTGCAAATAGCGTAGAGATCTTTTTAGCTTATAACGAGTCTATACTGTATATGTTTTTAATGTAGGACGACTGCCTCGACCAAATATAATAGAAAATTAAGGGTTTTGGCGGTTTCTATCTGCAAGGTAACGACCTAAACGAAAAGACTCCTACAACCCCCGAAAGGGCTTTACATGTCGTCCCTGATAAAGTATCGTAGTCGAAACAATCGTCACACACAAATTCGCGATGATTCAAAATTCGGAATATTAAGATAGCGAAATAAATTATAATCAGTACCTGAATGTGGAAACGAGACGATCTAAAATGAAGAGACTCTTACAACCCCCGAAAGGGCTTAATAAATCGCCCGTTTTGCCTCGTCGAAATTGAATAATAATGCCGTGCTCGACAAATTAGTACAGAACAGGCTTACCGTGTGACTATAGAATGTAATATACGACAAAAATCGCTCTGAGGTTCGCTATGATATCGTTGAAGGCTGATGTCGCACTAACACTTGTCGCGCACCCGGTTGTCGTTTATTGCAAAAATTAAGTAGACGTATCACAAGACGATTACAATTTTCGGAAAATAATATAATAAACGCGATTGAATTTAATACGGAAATCACGCGATCAAACGGATTAAAAAGAAAGAAAAATGATAGAGATTTAATAGTATGAAAATGAGTTTAACGAGCGCGTCTCTGAGTCTTTGCCGCGTATTCGAGATTTCACCCTCGCGACACTCTGCCTACGATTAGGACTTGCCGCGCAGCTAAATTACAACGAAGTACAATCGACAACTCTATCTCTAAACGCACGGGCTCCCGTCACGACTTACTCGATTGTTCGACGAAGAGTGATCAGAATCGATCGCGATCCTAGCCGGAAGGGCCCGTCGCGAGGACGATGTCCTGCGTGGGGACATTTCGGCAAATCAAAGCGTGCGACGGTAGCGTCACGTACGTCGCTATTGGTTAAGGGCGCGTGCCATACGAAATCCTCTAGATCATTTTCTCTCTCTCTTTCTGGTGTTCCATCTCTGTCTAACGGCTTTTCGATGTTTCTACGTCGTAGATTTCCTGGAATGTTCTATTCTCATCGATAATTCCAATATTAGATATAAAATGCTGCGATTATCAATTAATAGTTTAAATCAGAATTATTGAACAATAATATGCGAGTAATTATAACCTGAACTATATTATTATGTATGAATAATGGACCGGCTAGCACGGGGTTCCCTAATTAACAATTGGCTTGTCCATAATCATTTTGTTCGCCAAGAAATCGATCAACAATACGAATTGCGGTGGTAGCGCAAGTTGTTCGTTAAAAATCCTAATAGCATGCGATGATTCAACTGATAATTTCAATAGTATTCAATTGTTCGATATTCGAATATTCATTCCTGTACTCGCAGCGAACTTTGTTCGAGAACGTTCTTTCTGTTCAAAATCGTACCGTTGGGTCTTAGTTTCAGGTAATTCTTGGAATTCGATACAATGACTTTTATTCCCCTGTGTGACCCTTCGTCTCTAAACAGTTCTCGTATGTTGCTAACGTTCGCTGGTGAGGGTTCTCTATCCTCGCCCTTTGCACTCATTCGAATATTTGAATTTCATGCTATTTCATACTGTGATGCCCGTTTTCCTTCAATACCTCGATATTGAATTTAGGGATTTAGGGTATCACTTAGTAATATTCAATTAAAGATCGACCATTCGTGGAGAACAGTAACTTTTTATTCATACAGAGCGGTTACAAAGTGAAGACTGCCCGCGCACGGAGTTTCCAGTTCTTTTAAGGGTTTCGGAAGGTGAACTTTGAGCTATGGCAAGATAGGGGAAAAGAAAGGAGAGTTTAGAAGGTGAAAGTTCGGAAGTGAGTAATAGTGGAGTGATTTGGAAAGAGATAAAGTTTTGGATGAGGCACGGAATGAGTAACAGTAAATATTTGGGTGTATAACAATACTATCATTCCAACACTCAATTCGCACATACGATCGGGTTTGGGACCGACTGGCGCCTACGCGTGAAAAAGAGGAGAGTATCAGTTGAAAATCTAAAAGATAAATTGATCTTTACGCTTTTGCGCAGTTAACCTAAGGAGACCCCTATAATGCGAAGCACTGGCTAACTGCGCAGCGAACGCTGTTTACGATACCTCTCCTCGGTCGAAACTGAGTTTTTCTATCCCGAATTCTGTTACTGCGCAGCTGAGCACGACGATAGTTTCAAGGAGGGGTATTAACTGAAGAAAAGAATTGAGAGATATGAAAAGAATGAAAGGATAGAAAAGACAAAGGTAGAATAATTGTAAACTCAAACTCTTCCCTGCGCATTTCCCACGTGAAGAAGACTCTCACAACCCGAAGGCTTGATGGGAAAGCACAGAGTTGAGGAGAAAATCGAAATTATGTAGAAGTGATTTATCCCCCTCATGCTCCTTACATGAGGAGACCCCTATAACCCGAAGGTTTAATAAGGGAACGTGAGGTGGACAAATTTGCAAAATTTTCCGGACGTGACAATGTGGTGTATAAAAATTTGTTCTGAAATGGCTACCACCTGGATAGAATATTCGACGTCGCCTTTTTGAAATGAGATGTTATACTAATTTGTTTTTATTTAAATAGCTTTTATCAAACTGGATAACATTTACTGGAACCATTTTTTGATATTCCTAATAGTTAACGATTTATGGCAAAGGGAATATTGAAGAAGCAAATACACGGAGGCATCGAAGAAGAATTTAAATAGACTATTTGGTTTTAAAATTAATTTTATTAAATATTGAAAATATCGACAATTTACTTGTAAACAGGCATTTCTTCTTTTTTCAATATTATAACTTTTATAATATCGTGTATCGAACAACATTATTGCAGGTACTGGCTTACAAGCATTCTGCATTCGATTTTTTCTTGTGGGGATATTTGAAGCATGAAGTAATAGAAACTCTGCCAACCACAAAAGAAGATATGAAAACTCGAATAAAAAATGCTTGTCAGTCAGTAAATGCAACAATATTGGCTGATGTACGTCAGAACATTATGAAAAGAATTAATATATGTTTACAAATAAACAGTCGACATTTTCAATATTTAATAAAATAAATTTTAAGACTTTGAACACCTCCACACCTATAATATACTTGCCTCAGAAGAAACATTAGATGATAGTTTTCAATATTCGTTAGTGGAGTGGATTTTACAATATAATATTCCTAATGGAAAGTAAATGATTTAGTTTCCATTTTAAAAAACCCAGTTCCACAAAATTTACCTTCAGATGCCAGGACACTATTAAAAACAACAAGAAAAAAAAATACAACGTTTGTTGAACCGGGACAGTATTACCATTTCGGATTAAAAAATAGTATTTTAAATCTCGTGAAAACCATAGTTAGGTCTTCTATTATTAACAATATAATTCAAATTAATATTAATATTGACGGATTGCCATTATGTAAAAGTTCAAGTAGTCAAGTTTATTCGATTTTATGTAGCGTTGCAGGGCATAAAAATGTAGTAGATATGGTTGGTATTTATCATGATTATGAGAAACCCAAAAATATAAATAGTTTTTTAAATGATTTTGTGCAGGAGGCAGTAGATGTCATTAATAACGGATTCTTAATAAATGGAAAATTACATCGTTTAAAAATTAAATCTTTCATATGTGATGCCCCTGCTAAAGCCTCTATTAAATGCGTGAAAGGGCATACAGGCTATTTTTCTAGCACCAAGTGTCAATCTGAAGGAGAATTCATAGAAAATAGAATATGTTTCCCTGATGTGACGAACATTCGCTTAAGGGGGTAGACACGGGTAATAGTAGCGCGTTGACTTTACCGGCAAAAATGGGCCTAAACATGGGTTTACGGGATTCGACTTTTCGTCCTTATATGAGAGAATTTCGGGCTGGGTGAGAGCTTATTCGAAAGAGGAAGGTCCAGTGCAGTACGGTCAACTAGGTATAGTAGCTAGGTTTCTAGCAGCGTGGTAGGGGAAGGAGCCACGAGTGGCCCGCGGGCCGCAGGTTAGACAGGCTTGCTATACCTATAAGGGTGATTCTCTCGCTAGGGGACACAAAGAAACTGGCGACAATGAATCCCTTGACCGCACCATGAAGACACACAGAGTTGTCTCCCGGGTAAGTCCCCGCTGGCACGTGACAATACGGACCTCTTTATGGTGCGGTCAAAGGGTCCATTGTCGCCAGTGTTCCTTTGTGTCCCATAGCGAGAGGATCACCCTGTAGTACGTAGTTTTTGCAATATTTTTTTTTTAATTTATGCAGAACCGCATTAAGATTTCTGGGGCCCGGGATTATCAAACTTTCGAGGGTCCTCTTGGTTCATAAACTTGGTTTAAAAATTGAAAGTTATTCTAAATAAAATTAATTTCTTTATTTCTAATATAACAGTCAACATATTATACGCTGGTAAAAATTAAAAATGAGCAATATTGAAAAATTATTATTCGTAATGATGAATAAGAAACTACGTACCACGTTGACCGGAACAGATCAACTGATTATTGAACCATAAACCAGTTAAGACGGGAATTGGTCGACGAAGAGGGAAATGGATTTTGTACATCAGGGGCCTGCCCTGCCTTACAGCTCTAACCGACTCCTCCCTCGACTTCGCTAATTCAAGTCGACCAACATATTTCTGAAACACAATGAATATAATTAATTAACCCCTTTTGATATTACCACCAGTCTGACTTGTGGGACCGATTATGGGTCAAACGTGAAAAAAACGATTCTGATTCGTGGTAGAAATTACTAAGTACACGTAAAAACTTTAATGAATGTTTAAATATCTTTGCAAAATGGTATGGCAAAAAATATATACAATATTATTTTATTTGTAAATGTTCTGTTTCGCGGACGACATTCTCGCGTAGCGGAAGGGGTTAATATTAATAGTATTAGAAGTATAAATAAATTTTCACGGTCCAGTTCAGATTGTGTTAAGTCTAACAAGGGGAACTACCCAAGTGTTACACTCACTTATTAATAAAACTTTGCCAGCTTGTAGAGCTCGTCGAGCTGAACACGCCTATACCCCGTTTTGTGGGCAGACGACTAATTGTTTAAAAGATATTAATAATTAAAGTTAGTTACTACTTACATTGAGAAGCATGACAGACTCACACATACAACTCGCAATCTAGAGATCCACGGTTCAAATCCTTGATTCCCAATATTTTTTTTTTTTTTTTTTAATGATAATTTGTCTCTTTTTGAATAACTATTACATAAAAATTATCATAACAAAAAAAATTTTTTTAGGAACCAAGGATTTAAACCGAGAACCTTTAACTTGGAATTCACGGATCTGCTCGGTGGTTAAACACATGATTCGTAATCTAAAGGTCCTCGGTTCAAATCCTGGGTTTCTATTTTTTTTTTGTTTTTTTTTTTTTTTTTTTTTAATGATAATTTTCATGTAATAGTTATTCAGAAAAAAAAATTATCATTAAAAAAAAGAAAAAAATGTTGGGAACCAGTGATTTGAACCGTGGATCTCTAGATTGCGAGTTGTATGTGTGAGTCTGTCATGCTTCTCAATGTAAGTAGTAACTAACTGTAATTGTTATTATCTTTTAAACAATTAGCCGTCTGCTCCCAAAAGGGGGTATAGGCGTATTCAGCTCGACTAGCTCTACAAGCTGGCAAAGTTTCATTAATAAGTGAGTGTAACACTTGGGTAGTTCTCCTTGTAAGTAGGAGCGGGTACCCGAAATTACGGGTACTGGTGCAACGAAATCGTAGCTGGACAACACCTTGAACCGAATCTACCCGACTTCTTCCGAGAGAGCCGGAAAATATCGCGCTACCCGAACATTCGTTTAGTTCGGGGACCAACACGAACTTTTCCGAGTGATCCCGAGCCCGTAATTTCGGGTACCTGCACATCCCTAGTTAACACCTGACTGCTGTAGTGGTCACCGGTTAGCAACGCTTAAAATTTTTAACAATTGAATAATTAATAAAAGAGAAGAAAATGAAAATTTTGAACAGCGTCAATATTACACCAATAAATAACAAAAAGTAAATTCTATCGCGGAGTAAAAATTGTTGAAATTACAGATCCTGGAAATGTGTCAGATTATGGAGATAAAGTCTGAGTAACCTGATCTCCCACTCACACATAAAGAATACCACGAAATACTTAATCGAGACAAACTTACACCATAAAATTTAACGCTCTTTAAACAGAATCTCTTCGTTGATAAATTAGTAGTCTATGTTAAACTTTTATTGAAAGAAATAAAAAATGAAAAGGATTTGCCGACAGACGAGAAAATCTACGATTGAGGGTTGCCGAGAAGACATAATGAGGCGTTAAAAGAGGCGCTAAAAACTCAAAGAAATACAAATGCTGCCTCGCAGTTCTAAGAGATAGATGATGTGTTGTATGGCCTTGGAATAGCTGATTAGTTGCAAACATGATGAATATCTTTTTTTATTCAATTAAACAGTACCTGCTCAGAACTTTAAATGCAATTTCCTAGAATCAGTATTTTTCCAATTGGTAGCCATAAAAATTCAAAAATAAGGTTCTCACAATAATTTTATTAAAAACTGAGTAATTTCCAAATTGTTACTTAAAATACCTGGGACATGTTTAAAATCAAGAAGACCAAGAAGAAATTTATTATATAGGGTGATCCATTTAAATAGAAACACCTAAATATCTCTGCTATTTATGGTTTTATAGAGAAAATCACGAAGGCAAAATTATACTACTTCGAGGACAGATGTAATAGTAGGATTTTTTTCCGGAAAACTTTCTCCACAAAACTATAAATAATGGATATATTTAGGTGTTCTCATTTAAATGGTTCACACTGTGTATTATATGTTGCACTTTGAATAAAGTACTAGTATAAAAACACACTCATTGACTAACATAAATTCCACTTAAAATAAAAATTATAAATTCTGAATTAGAATTAATAAGCATCACTGCTTTCATAGATATTTTTTTTTTCAGAAAAGACTTGAAAAGCAGAACATTTGGTCACTGTGACATTTTATCAAAAAACGAGAGAAATAATAATCTCACCCAAAAACTAATAAATCAATTGATTTGAAATTTTACATATTTATTCAATAGATGTCTTTTAATTCTTTAACACTTTTTAATCCTCGGACGACGGACCATGGAGGAAGCTCCAATTTTAATTTTATTTTGTATTTTATATTCTTAATCCCAATCACTTCTTCAGTATTAACGCGTTGACTGCCACGCCAATGTTATTGAAAATTTCATTACAGTATTTTAATTTTTAATAAATCTTATTTACCATTTTCAGAATATTTCCGCATTCCAATAAGCCATGATTTCAAATGTTTAATACGAATATTCCCGATAAACCAAATAATTCCTAATAATATCGGTAATAATTTCCTATGAAAATTCAAATGTCGCCTAAATATAGGTGACGTCGCAGTCAACAATTTTTTAAATGAAAGAAGTTTCAATACTTTCTAAATGATGTATTCACTGAGCCCCTCTTTGGTTTTTCTATTTTAAGCAAAACACGGAAACTGCATTGTACTATATAAAGCAAATATTGCTCTCGGTTTGACGTACATTCTGGGTTTCCGTTGTGGTTTTACCTTCCTTTTGGGAAAATTTCAACAATAAGATCATCTTTATTACAGTTTCATTTGTGGTTTGAATGAAAAATAGCTTATGTTCGTCACATGTACTTACGATGATGTTACAATTCTTATAATCCCACGGATGTCTAAGAGACTCTTTGTATTTATAAAGTAATGAATTTTCTTGAAAACAATTATCAATGGAAAAATAGCAATTAATTTTACTAAACAAACAAAAACTGTCTTATCCTTTGTTGAATCTCTATTGTACCTATTTTCAACGAACTATCATTTCAAAGTATTGAGTTGAAATCAGATTTAAAAATAAAACGATGATGCTGAGAAAATGTTTCAAGAAACCTCTAAATGATTATTATATATTATCAATACAATATTATCAATTACTATTAATAGAAGACCGGATTAAAAAATCTGGGGCCTAGCGCTTCGCCTTAAGCGAAGGACTATTAAACCTTTGGAAGCCCCTTTGGTTGATAAAGGGTCGAAAATTGAAATTTATTCTAAACAAAATTAAATCATAAATGGAAGGATTATAATGGAACCTCCCGCAAAATGGGGCCCGGAAGTGCAGCCCCCCTTAGATCTTCCCCTTAATCCAGCACCTTGTTAACATTTTATTGGTAAATGTATTTAGCATTCAACGAAGTATAGCCAAACTAAAGCTCGTGCAGCTATTATCTTAACATTATCGATAACTATTACTATTTATGTATTAAAAATCTGAAATATTATAATTTCTCGGTTTTCTGTTTTTCTGTTAATTTATAATTCTACTTTTGGAAATAGGGGATGTTTTCGCATCGAAAATTTAGAACATTTCTCTATTGGAAATTTTTCTATTTACCTATCAGAAATTTGAAAATTTTTTCTATTAGTACTTTTCCTATTTTCCCTATCGAAGATTTAGAATATTTATCTACTAGAAATTTCCCTATTCTCCTATTCAAAATTTTTTTCTTTTCTTATTAGAATTTTCCAATTAAAAATTTAGAATACTTTTCCGTTGAAAATTTTCCTGTTTTCATCGTACCACTTTGTCAATATTCTAAATATTGTCAGTACTTTGACTTTTTCTCTCACACATTTTATAATATTGACAATAGATACATTAGTCATATGAATACCCTTTATGTATTATCATTACTTAGTCTACTTAATAAATAAGAAATAATTTTCATAAAATAAAGTTCATTTACCGATGGTAATGCAACGGCGATGCTTAAAGTGACACTTAATTGCAAAGCAACTCCTTTCGGAGGCGATGGTATCTCAATATAACCAATCACTTCGTTTGTATGATCATCCTGAATGTACCGGAAGTAGTTAGGACACGGCGATTGACCCGTTACCTGGACGATCAGCTGAAGAAAATGCACCAACAGCGCCACCTGAACGATTACGCTGATCATCTTGGTACCCTGTAACATAAATGAATAATTTTCAAATTAAATTAACAATACAAATCCATTTTTCAAAGTTAACTATTCTTCATAAGTGCTTTACATTAAAGCTTCATTTTATCGATTATAAATTGAAAATTTAATTTTCAAATTTAATATGCAGATTGACACCTAAAATTGTATAATTTTTATATTATGCAGTATGTGAAAAATTGCTTGGTTTCAAAGGGCATATTATATGCAGTATCAACTTTATTTATAAATGAAGATATTTTGAAAATTTGAAGATCAACTTCTGAATTCTTAAAATATAATTGACTTTCATTATTCACTAAATATACAACAAAAAAGTACCATGCAAAAAAAAACAATCGAATTAATTACCTATAATAATATAAATATACATTTGTCCCATTAATAGCCTCAAATGGTGCATGTGACCTTAAACTTGTACTTAAAAAAGAAGCTGACCTTCAAATTTCTGAAGTACCTCCAACTGCAAGTAAAGTGAACGTAACAACCCCCCTTGAAACTATATAATTTTTTATAGAATTCATGATTTTTAAATTATATAATCTAGATATTAACATGGATACCCAAAGATTTCCTGAATTATTTAAAAAAGAATAGTATCTTCCCACATATTCCAAAAATTTATTAAAATTTTTGCAAAACCAACGAAATAAAGTACTTCTCTTAAGCTCTGAACAAACACTTAACAATTCTTCTTCAAATAGGAACTGCAGAGAACGCAGTGTAAACTGACATAAGAACAAAGAGTAATTGACGATGGACTGCGAACGGTGGAGTGTCAAGAATCTTCAGGTCCAAGTGTCACGTAAAAATGTGACGATGCTTACCTCACAAACGATAACCTCTGTCAAAGATCGAACGTCGTAGTATGAATAATCGCGTTTAAAGGAAAATCGGCACAATTCATCGTTTTCCTCGATCGGTAAAATTACAATCGCTTTCTCTTCACATTTTGTCCGACTTTCTCTGATATAACCAAGGTACCGATCAAACGCGTGTCGCTACACAAACTTCAACGTGCACGATCATGTCAACCGGTTTTCCCGTTCCCATAACCGACGAATCTTCGCAGCCTCGTAGATTCTTCGGAACTGCACGAATCAATCACTGTCACAATTATCGCACGAGCCTTGACTCTAACGTGCGGAACACACGAAACCCTCTCGACCTAATCGAATCACCGAACGATTCTCTCGATACCGTTCCTGTGTTCACTGCGAGGAAACGGCGTACGTTCATCGTTATTTACGCTTCAACTGACGGAAAACCACAGAGGAATTCCTCGGATCCTTTTGGTCCGGTCAGCCGACAAATTCTACTCACGTGAATTTATTTACGTTATTAGTCAATCACCTTTTCAAACGTAAATGATCTTAGTCGTAATAAAAACTACCCGACACTGTCGGTGTTCGCGTCTCAACGCTTCATTGCTTCTTCGCGACGCAGGCTTTCATGGTAGTGGGGCATCCCCGGTGAGGCCTCCTTTTTGAACGCTTCATTCGTATGATCCGAACCTCTATCCCGCGTAATGACCGCGAGCCAGGACGAAGAAAAAGACACGGTTTGACGAGTTTGCCACTATGGCCCTCCCCGTGCGACTTTACCGAGACCCGATTCCAATGAGTCACATTCTGGACGGATGTCACATCGTCATGGTGTAATTACGACGGCGCACACGTGTACACAATTAGAATAAATCAACAGGATTTTTATTTTTTATATCGTTCTTGACTAATTGTTTTAATCTCTCGGTGATTTGTATAATTTAATGCTTAAAAAATTGAGTGCTTAATTTTTGTGAATGTAACGCTGTTTACATATCTGGGGAAAAGTTTGAATCTCTATTGGGTTAGCCACTGCCATTTGAAGCATAACCATGTCAAGATTTTTGGGCCCCAGGGCTGTCAAACCTTTGAGAGCCTCCTTGCTTGATAAACTTGGTTCAAAAATTGAAATTTATTCTAAATAAAATTAAATAGTATTTAACCGTAAAGGAAAAGAACGATAGAACAAAGAATTTTGTTCAATATTTCTTGGCATAGTACATAAATGGAAGACTTGGAACGGGACCCCCTACAAAATGGGGCCTTTAGACCCCCCTTTAATTTGGCGTTGATTCGAAGATTAATTGTATCTGCAAAATGAATTTATTTACGCGATTAAAAATTGAGGTTTCATCATTTCAGTATTAATTATTAAATTCCTAATTATTCATGCAACAAATTTTGTAATTATTCGTTCGTTATGTATAATAAGGATATAATAAGCGATTAACAATCGCCCAATTGACCTTTATGTGTCATCAAACTCTTAGCGTAAACTCAAGATAATATTTCTCAGTATTGAATAATTGATTACATCAGAAGAATTCTTATTTGGATAATTGAACGAGTACGTCGGGAATTCCTGAACTCACCCGGAACCCGGAAACCATAAATCTTAGTAATCACAAGTAAAACAAAAAAAGTCAATTACAGTGAGTTAGCACATTTTTTTACCATTGCGGTTTATTCTATACCACTACCAATACAATTAAACTATCTACGAAAATGGGAGAATATTTTAAAGCTACTGTGACCTTTGAAAAGTATGTTTATTGAAATTTTTATTAATTCGTTGACTTTCTTAGTGAAAATGGACATTTGTTGCGGATAGAAACTTAAATTTTTACCAAGAAATTAGGGCCCTTTTGACGGGCCCTCATTTTAATTAATTGGGCCCTAAATCCCTACCGGCCCATCGGCAGTTTTTCCGAACTCCCTATGATCAGTTCTAATTATTAAGGACAGGAACGCTGTTCAAAATAATATTATATTTTGCTGTTTTTTCTTGTAATTATCCGAATATATGTAATTTGCATAATGACCTCCACGGCATTCAATGTGTTAATAGTGGAGCGACGAATACTGGATCAGTCGTGACCCAGACCTATGAAATATTATTACACATATAAGAATTCTTCGATTAAAATTAAGTGCTTAAAATTTTTCAACAAAAGACCTCCATATATTAAAAAATGAATATATTAAGAAATAATTAAATGTTTAGAAAATTAAAATGGGAAAGACTACATTTAAGTTATCCAAACTTGTTTTTCTCAAAAGCAATTTTTTCCAAATTGGCATGCAACATAATTCTAAGAATATTGAACTAATAATCATCACTACCAATCTCGAAATTTAAATAAATATTTTCTTTAGGCAATGAAGCCCCAAAAACAATGATATTATTTAACTTAATTATAAAGTAATGAAATCTTCGTCAAAAGGCATACTTTTCCTACAAACCGCCACTATTTTGTTAATTTTACAATTTTTCTTCTTATTTAAGATTCATTATCTGTGTACCTCCCGAAACAGGAAAAAGTTTTAAATAAATAAGCAACTTTTTAAACTAACTGCTTGATATTTATTTACATAATTATTCGAATAATTGTTATTTTGTTTCTTTCTTTTGTTTATAAGTATTAAAAAATACTTTCAAAGTTTCAAATGAATCTAAGATATAATTTGTGAGGAAAGCACTCGTAAACTTTCATGTACAGCGGAGTTCACCAAAGTCCATAAGCGAAAGACCAGTTTTCGTTCTTTCGTGCGCATCTTCGCCCTGGTTGGCGGTACTCCCAAACGAAGTAGAAAGCGATTAGCGGAGAGCTCGCTGCGTTCCCCCACCATCTTTCAATCTGCGCGTCGCAGTTATGGACTCTGGTGAACTCCGCTATAAGTTGGTGTTTTTGAGGTTCCCCAAATGTTATCGCTGGAGTTTCCCCAGATTGAGGTTAAGGTTATACGGTTTTTAATAAAGAATGCTATCACTGGGGAACCTCACTCTTTACGGGAAAACCCCATTGTGTGATATAGTTTATTCAACTCTTGAACGCACGTAATAAATACCTACGTCAGTATGACGGTCAAAATAAGATGGGAAATGAACATGAAGAGGTTTACCGGAGAGTACCGAGGTCGATCCAAAAATAATGGATCAAATCATAGTATGAGAAAAGCACAGTGATTAATTTACCTATTCAAACTTTTCACTACCCATGATTGAATATGAATTTATAATTTCATATAATTAGGTGATATTTGCTTGAACCAATCAAAATTAAATACATGCAGGTAATTAACCCTAGAAGAACGGAGCCTGGGTCAATCGTGACCTAAACTTACAAAACGTATCAAGGGTATTAACTTAAAGTTAAATGTATAATTTTTAATTGAAAGGGTTTCATATGTTGAAAGAATAATTTTTAAAGAAATGGTGTAAAATTTAGGAAATGAAAATAATATTGAATTAGGGTTTTCTCCATGGTCCGCCGTCCGAGGCAGATTATAAATTGTCAATACGTCGGCATTAAGTAATTGCTTATAATGGTTTCCATTTATTTTTCTTAAAAATTTGGAGTTGGTTGAACAAGTAGTGTACAGTTTATAAAATTTTATATAAATCTTTACAAAACTATGAATTTATCTAAAATTACCATCTACGCTCATTGACGCAAGTGGTATGATAGAAATAACTTGGGATCTGATCATTCTAGTTTCTGTGAATATGCAGGAAGTAGTTGATGATTAACTGAAGAAATTTTTATATATTTGAATACAGCTGTATAATGAGTGTTGTGTTTTATATTTTATATTATAAAGAAAACATAATAAAATATAGAAAATTAATTAATTGTGAAATAAAAATTGTATAATATATCAAAACAACCACCTCGCATATTGTAAAACTGGCAACTTTTTATGCCTCTCATTACTGCGATTTTGAATTTTAAGCATCTCGTTCTGCGTTTTTTAGAGAATTCAGTTTATAAAATATTTGATATCCTATTTTAAAAAATATTAAATTACATTTAAAACAAAATATTAAATTTTTAATTTATAAAATACTCGGAACCTCTAAATGGAAAAAATAATTACTGAAATGTTTTTAGAGCAACTGTACCTATTCTTCTAAATTCCTAATCTTCACGCAAATGTTCTTACCGTTTCCTTTTTCCCCCTTGTACCTATTACGAATATAAATGCGAGTTAGCATAGATTCTACACGCTTGCGTGAAAATGTCGCGTGCGTTGGTATCGCGATAAAAATTGCCAAGGATTCTTTGTTTAAGCGATACAGTAGCAAACAAGATTTCTTGCTAACGTTAAACACACGTTCACCGCATTTCAATCGATTCTTTTGAAATTCTTTGTGCGCGATGCTTAGTTCACCAACTTGCGTGCATCTGCGATACGATTACGTTACCTACATTATTAAAAAAAAATAGGTGTGCTCCTTCACAGCAAGCATTTTGCCTTTCATTCATTACTAATAAAACACGTTTCATTAATGATATTGGTAGGTTACTATCAGAAATTCTAATAAATAATTTTTACACAGTTTCAAAAAATCTGAAAATGTGTTAGTAATCCGTCAAATATTTATTACTATAACTGTTTGTTTTTGATAATGTCAGGAATTAATGAAAAATGAATTTAAATTAAATTAAACGTGTAGACTTACAATTAAAATTTACAAAATTATATGAAAACCATTTAAAGATTATGAAGAATTAATTAACTCTCGAACGGCAGTCAGTAAAATTATAGCTCTCGAGGTTTAAGTAAATGGTCAATTGTTCTTCTTGCAAAATACTTAGCATGAAGCTTTAATTATCAAGGATATGAATACAGTATAATAGAGTTCATTAGTTTACATATAATTATAATATAGTATATGTGTACAGTGTATACCTATTTTATACTACTTATACAGGGTGATCCTCTCGTTAGAGGACACAAAGGAACACTGGCGACAATGGACCCCTTGGCCGCACCATAAAGAGGTTCGTATTGCCACGTGCCAGCTGGGACCTACCCGGACCGAGACAACTCTGTGTGTCTTCATGGTGCGATCAAGGGGTTCATTGTCGCCAGTTCCTTTGTGTCCACTAGCGAGAGGATCACCCTGTATATTACTACAGAGTATAGTATTGTGTAGTTAATTTTCTAATTTATTTAATTTTATTAATACAATAGAAATACCTACTATTTAATCTTTCTTTATTCTTTCCTTTTCTAAGTATTCGATTACATTACATTGAACCCTCCTGCACATAATTAACAAATGCTAATTAATATTCTATTCGATGAATGTATTCTTTGAATAACTTCAACAAAAACACAGTACGTTTTTCATAAATAGAATATTCTAAAGAATTATTAAATATTAGGTTTCAATTTGAGGGTAATTCTAATCTGAACGGTATCCCACAGTTGAGGCGTCGCGTCGCGACGCGTCTGATAAAATTATATAAGACGAATTGAGAAATATTGAAAAATATTTAAAACATTGAAGCTCTAATTATTAAGAATACAAATATAATTAATTTTCAAATTTAAGATCTCAATCTTCTATTTTAAAATATTAATATAATAATAATAATCAATTTTTCTCTCTTCTTTTCTTTTTCTATTTACTTAATTTTCTTACATTTGAGGCGTCGCGACGCCATGTGTTATTCATCAATGATCAATATAAAAGTAAACGTGGTTAAGATAAAATATTTCAAAATACTCACCTCATCGTAGCTACCATTAATTCTGCTAACATCTAAATAATATTTGCACCGTATCGAAGAGGTTACTTTACGAGATTTGGACATCTTTTGAACACAACCTACGGGAGAAGCACAAAGTAAATATCGTCGTTACAGCTCGTGAAATATCATTTATACATGAAGACTCACGTTCGAGGCTCACCTGAGTACCTGTACCATATTTGTGAACATATTTTAATGGTGTCTTCTTGTTTATACAGTTCCCAGAATACTTGACGAACTTCCGTTTTCCTTTCTTGCGACCCTTTTCACCCGTTTCTGAGAACAACATCATTAACTACCTGAGACTGTCTGTACTTTTATTACACATGACTGATTTTCACAAATATGAGTTGCGGTCAATTTTCAACGATGAAACGGAACGAAGGATATAGAACGGTATTGTGATGAGCCAATGGTAAATTCGGGTTTGGATTTCTAATTGTAAATTGAACAGGTACCAATAGGTCGTTTGAATTTGTATTATGTACGTAACAGTGCTGATTGATCAATCAGAGTTCATTGAATTATCAATGTTCACTAAATACACATCTTTAATTAAGGGGAAAAATATTCTTGGGTTAAGCAGTAAAATGTAAAGTAATACAGAAAAAAAGTAAAACAAAAATGTAATAAATATAGCATAATTAAACATTACAATTTAATTTTTTTGTTGTAAATTTTGTGCACCATTCAAAGTGTTAAATTTCAGTGTCGCAATCTATATTACAGTTTGACAATTAAATATGAGATTGCATGGAATACTGCTTATAAGAAACTAATAGAGTCCCTTGGGTGAAATATTTTATTGTACAGTATCGAGCATGGTAGGCTTTCCCCGGGAAGATGACGATACCTCGCTATTGTAGACTTCCCCTTCCCAGGGACTCCCGCCCCACCCCACAGATGGCCCAGAGAGAATGACAATACATGTATAGGAGAGGGTCCCGTTATATGTATACCGCAGTTCACCAGAGTCCATAACTGCGACGCGCAGGTTGGAAGATGGTGGGGGAACGCAGCGAGCTCTCTGCTAATCGCTTTCCACTTCGTTTGGGAGTATCGCCAATCAGGGCAAAGATGCGCACTGGAGAAGCGCGAAGAACGAAAACTGGTCTTTTCTAACTAACTAACATTTACGCGGGAGAATTTGAATTGATATTCATATTATTATTTAAATTTCTTAATTGTATATACACTAAATTTTGTAATATTTAATAAGTAAAAATTACATTATTTTATTTCTAAACCACTTCTAACATTAATATCCACAAAATTAAAATTTTAAGAATCCCTGTTTCCTTTTTAAAGACATTCAACACCTATGTACCGAAAGATTCTTGCTATTAATTATACCATTTCTCTTTGATTGCAGGAAAAATACCTTGTATATATAAGTTTTTCATTTCATTTACATTTTTCACAACATGCTCCTTAAACGAAAACATTCGTGATATTGAATTTAAAAAAGTATGTATAAATCACTATAGTTTAAAACATCTTTAATAAACTTCTATAATTTTTTCTATTTTAATTCCTAAAGTGGCTTATAGACTTTAAAGGTCGATTTATATTATTCAGACACGGAGCGTTTCCATTCAGTTCGGTTCAGACATAAGCAATGTAGTATTTATACCTACCATCAGTTCACGTTCGACAACGACAGGCAACGAACATTAATGGTTATCGTTCGAAAATGTCTACATTTTTCTTTAAAAGAACTGTGCATCATAGCATTATTATTAGATAAAGAGGAAGAGGAAAAGAAAAGAAAACGACGTTTTGAGGCTCATAAAATGTTAAAGAAAAGAAAGATTTGTGGAGAATATTCGAATTCTTATCCTATTGATGGAATAAAAAAGTATAGTTTCTCACTAACTTTATCAGTTTTTCGTTTTGCATTATAATAAATTGCTCACATGTCTGTTCTGTTGCAAGATTTTGTCTGAAATGAATGCATATTATACGACAGCGTCCGTTTGGTTGCGTTTCGATTGTTTCAAATTATTCTTTTCGAGAATGTCGGTGGTCATATGTTGAAACGGAACGTGTTTGAACCGATCCACCACGGTAGATACATATAAGCACTCGCGTTTAATAACACAAAACAATATTTGTCTGAACTTCAGACTCTGAACCGAAATAAACGGATAATATAAATCGACTTTAAATCGAAACGTCTTTAATTTTTTTTAAAACCTAAGCAGTACTACATTTAATTTTAATTGTACGCTGCTATTAATGCGCATGCGTAACACAGAGATTTATCGGATAAATATTACACAAAAACATCTAAACATAACCTTCAACGTTTGAAAGTTGTTGACGTTACATTGTCTTTTCTTAGTTTTTGCAAGTTTTTGTAAATATAGATTACTGAAAACTTCTTAGGTTAAACTTTGTTTTAGTGAATCACCATACAGTTCATTTCGAATTAAAATGGAAGAGATGGATACAGGAAGTGATAAAAGTAACGATAATAGTTTGCACGAAAATTCAACAAACAATAAAGATGAAGAATCAGAATTGATTAAAAATGAAAATGAAGAAAGTGGAGACGATGAGCCGATAGATGATGAAGGTGAAGAAGACGAGGAAGAAGAGGAGGAAGATGCCGACGAAGCAGAGGTCAAAATTATAGAAACCACTCTTGTACAGAATCCATATGATTATGCTAGTCACGTAGCTCTCATTACCAAATTGCAAAGAATGGGTGAATTAGAACGATTGCGTGCTGCTAGAGAAAATATGAGTTCCAAGTATCCTTTGAGTCCTGAACTCTGGCTCTCATGGATGCGCGATGAAATTAAATTAGCTACCACATCAGAACAAAAAGCCGAAGTAGTGAAGTTATGTGAACGAGCTGTCAAAGATTATCTGTGTAAGATTCACTTATACTATATATATATCGACTGTAAAGCATAGAAACTGACCAATTTACATATTATAAATTTAATTTTATGTTACAGCTGTAGAAGTATGGTTAGAATATCTACAATTTAGTATTGGTAATATGGGCACTGAGAAAGATGCAGCAAAACAGGTCCGGCAATTATTTGAAAGAGCATTAACAGATGTCGGATTGCATACTATTAAAGGTGCAATAATATGGGAAGCATTCAGAGAGTTTGAAGCTGTTTTGTATGCATTAGTAGGTATTAAAGACTCAAAATTATTTTATATTTTCTTTTGATCATATTTTTATACTCAAATTTTAAATATTTAGATTGATCCTTCAAACCAAGCTGAAAGGAAAGAGCAATTAGAACGTATTGGAAACTTATTCAAAAGACAATTAGCTTGTCCTCTGTTAGATATGGAGAAAACGTATGAAGAGTATGAAGCATGGTGTCGTGGAGATGGCGCAGATGCTGTTATTGATGATAAAATTGTTGCTGGAGGATATGAAAGGGCACTTGCAAAACTTAATAGTCGTTTACCCTTTGAAGAAAAGATTGTTTCCTCGCAAGCTGAAAATGAACTTTTGGATTCGTACAAAGCATATTTACTGTATGAAAAACAAAATGGAGATCCAGGGCGAGTAACTGTTTTGTATGAAAGAGCAATCAGTGATCTTAGCTTGGAAATGTCACTTTGGTTTGATTATCTTACATATTTAGAAGAAAGTATCAAAATGGAATCTGTCTTAGATCAGATATATCAGAGAGCTTCCAGAAATGTCCCATGGTGTGTAAAAGTATGGCAGAAATGGATGAGGTCGTATGAGAAATGGGGGAAACCAACATTGGACATTCAAGCATTGTTAGAGAATGGTTTAGCGGCTGGGTTTTCTACCGCAGAAGATTACCGAAATTTGTGGATGACGTATTTAGAATATTTACGGCGCAAAATTGACCGAGATTCCAGCGAAGAAGAAAAGCAAATAGAAATATTGCATAACACTTTCAACAGAGCTTGCGAACACTTGGCAAAATATTTTGGCTTAGAAGGAGATCCCAATTGCGTTATATTACAATATTGGGCAAGAACCGAAGCTGTACATGCTAATAATATGGAAAAAGCTAGATCACTGTGGGCAGATATATTATCCCAAGGACATTCCTCAATAGCATCTTACTGGTTAGAATATATTTCATTAGAAAGGTAATTATATTATCTCATGTCACCTTACGTCAACTTATAATTTGGAATTATATATTTTTATTTCTCTATGTAGATGTTACGGTGATACAAAGCATTTAAGAAAATTGTATCAAAAAGCTTTAACTTCAGTAAAAGACTGGCCAGAAAGTATAGCAAACGCTTGGTTAGACTTTGAACGAGACGAAGGTACGCTGGAACAGATGGAATTTTGCGAAGCACGGACAAAGGAAAAATTAGATAAAGTAGCCGAGGAAAGGCAGAAAAACCAACAAACTTCGAATCATGAATCATCCCCATTGCAGAACAAAAAAGCTCACAAGAGAAAAACAGAGGATAGCGGTAAATGGAAAAATTTAAATACTTCCCCAGCAAAAATTACAAAAGTTGAAACCCAAGTGAAACCAAAAGCAAAAGAAGCTAAACTGAATCTAGAAACGAAACTTGACAGTGATGGCAAAGAACAGCAATCTAAAGTTGCTCCACCACCTGGTTTCAAGGCACCAGAGAGTGACAAAATGGACGTAGATAATGTACATGAGGTTGATGATAAAATCACAGTGTTCATAAGTAATTTAGACTATACTGCAACGGAGGAAGAAGTTAGGAATGCTTTACAAGCGGCTGGACCGATTACGTTGTTTAAAATGATACGAGATTACAAAGGTCGCAGTAAAGGATTCTGTTACGTACAGCTGAGCAGTGCGGTAAGAAACACTTTTTTCTTAATTAAAACTAAAATTATATAAATAAGTATGCGTGCATAAAAAAAATTTATACAGGAAGCAGTGGAGAAAGCTTTGCAGTTGGACAGAACACCTATAAGGGGACGACCAATGTTTGTTTCGCGATGCGATCCAAACAGAATACGAGGATCAGGATTCAAATACAGTTGTTCTCTCGAGAAAAATAAACTTTTCGTTAAAGGTAACTGACGAAGGGAGTGCACGGTAGTGGAAATCGCTTTTGGAATGACACTAGGTGGAAGTTGTAGTATACATATAGGGTTACAAAACCCTAATGGGTTTCTTCAGAATGGGCCTTCGTTTTTGAGGTATTTTAATGTAAAGTTTCTGGTATTCTCACGTAACTGGTATGTCATGTAGGTAAATTTTGTTTCAAAGACGGTTCCATGGCTGAAGTGATAGAGCGCTAGCCTATTAGTGACGATGAAACGACTGGGGTTCGAATCCAAACTTGTGAATAATATTTTTTTTTTCTTTTTTTTTTACTAATTTTTGTTGTGAAAATATACTTCCATATTATACATATTATATAGTATACGTTATAGATTATTTTACATAAAGCGATTTCCACTACCGCGCACTCCCCTTGTGAGCTATAGAAATGTAAATTTGAATATTTATCTTCAACAATTTTTATTTTTCCAAAATAAACAGGATTGCCAGTAACAACAACAAAGGAAGAACTAGAAGAAATCTTCAAAGTTCATGGAATATTGAAAGAGGTTCGTATAGTTACTTACCGTAATGGTCATTCGAAAGGATTGGCTTACGTTGAATATCAAGACGAAAACAGCGCCGCAAAGGCTCTCCTGGCAACCGATGGAATGAAAATCGACGACAAAGTTATTAGTGTGGCTATAAGTCAACCACCTGAACGCAAGAAAACTCAAGGGATCGAAGAAACATCTTTGGTTAAGTCTTTAGGTGGTAGTACAGTAAGCAGAACTACGTTTGGTATGCCTAGAACCTTATTGTCTATGGTACCACGTACTGTTAAAGCCGCTACTTCAAACGGTAGTGCAAGTGTGACTGGAAACAGTGTTCCTCAAAAGATGAGTAATCAAGATTTTAGGAATATGTTATTAAATAAAAAATAACTGACTACAAGGTAGCTGGTTCTTTTTGAAACCTTATTTATTTCAAAGCAGTGTGTATAGCATAAAAGTAACAAGGTTAAACAAAGTTTCCTTACACTTAAAGCACGTCTATTAGAGAATTCTCACCATCATGTGATTTCTTTCACTTGTATATATATTTACAAGACTGTTATCTTTTTAAAAGCGACGATGGATAAACCAGGAACCACGAGTTCGTAGAAAATAAATACGTTTAATGTAAAACAATTTATATATACACAGAATGCAAAGAAGAGTGTATGCGTGTGTGACAAATGCGAACACTCCTTATTCTAAACGTAAATAGAGGCAACTTTCTCTGTCATACATTTATCACAAGATACTTCTCTCATGTACTCAAAACATAATATGAAAAATTGATCTAAAATATTTTTAATAGAACGAATGAGAAAAATTTTATTTTAAGGAAATTATAACACTAAATCAGGGTGACCATTTGTATTATTTGCTTTTCATGTATCAAAATATATATAGAAATAGTTTCCACAGAATGATTGTCACAAAATTCCATGTTTTTTCTTTTTTTATTTCACACGTATTTGGTCACCCTACGTTAAATTTCAAACGCTTGTCTATAGCTGCAGTGGTGCATTGAACGCGTTGTGTTTTTTATGCCTGGGTGGAGCGACAGGTGGACTTTCAGGTGACAACAATCGACTCGTCATAAGCCACTTTTTGGCTCTGCCAGCGTGATAGTAATACGAGTAAAGCAATGCCATAGCCGCCAGCACAACCAGCAGGCACGTACCAGCGATAACGATACTGAATAACCAATAAGGACTGGGCTCTGGTACCAAAGTTGGTTCTGTGGGTGATTTTTCTCCAGGTACAGATGTTGTAGGTTTCACTGGTGGCTTTGGTGGTAGAGGTTCAACCTCGTCTCCTATGGTGATGTCTGCACAACCACGAAACTCTTCTTGAGGACCACAACCTACAGCCCCTGGAAAGTACATATTTGAAAAATTGTATTTAATACTGTAAGTACGTGTAATTTGATTGCATATAGTGCATAAGTTCTTCGTATTAGATTCAGTTTGTTTTCAATCAATGTATTGTACTAAATACTACAATACACAATTCTTTAAGATGTAAAATAATATAAAGTTGAAAATGAGAAAGCGATTGGAATTTGATATTTTATATAGCATTTAACTAATGATTTTTATTACTCATATAGTTTACTTAGAGTGTACTTTGTACAAAGTAACAGTAAATAAATTGTTTGAATTTAAGGACACCAAGAAAGATTGTAGAATGAAATTTTATTCCATTGTATTACCTTTACTACAGTGCAGTTTTTACAGTGCTGTTTTTAAATTATTTATTTGGATAAATATTTTATGATTATTATTATAAAAGCATTTTCAGTAAGTTGTAAATTAATATTGCATTGCTAAGAATAATAGGCATTGTTTATTCTTCAATGTTTGTACATAAGATTTGAAAGTAATGATAGACTGTCAGTTAATGACTGTTATAGAATACTGATAATTATGAAGCAATCATGCAATAGTTGCATAAATTGAGTAATGATTATTCCATACAAAAAGCCAACAAAACTTTCTATCCATTCACTTGTGGAATACTAATACTATTTTATTTTGTTGTGGTAGAAGTTGTCCTAATTAATAAAATTACATAATCCAAAAGCTACTGTCAAAAATTCCTTATGTTCTACTAGACAAATCAAAAGAATGTTTAATTGGATTGTAATTTGATAACTGTTCCTCTTAAGATTCATTAAATTTATTTAAATATTAACCATGGTTTTTAAACCTTGAAAGTAAATCAGGATGTAGTTTTTTCCCCTTCTTTTATAAATCATTTAATATTCGTTCAATTTCTAACAACAATCTTCACTTTGACTTATGTTTGTATGGAATAAATCTTTCATTTTAAACACCCCCTTTCATCCATCCAACGTTGGTTGAACAAAAGCGAAGTACGCTCGTCTAAAGTTAAATAGCAGTGAAATGCAATATTCAAAGTGCTCAAGATTCTTTATCTAAAGCTTCCGGTGAAATTTCAGAATCAGTAAGCACCAAGATGCTGAAGAATACCTCTTTTCATATTATACAGGGTATCCCATGCAACTGGGTCGAATTATAACTCTAAAGTGGTATAAGATAGAAAACAGATTTCAATAGACAAAATTAAGTGGTGTCCAGTAGAGCATCAGGTGATATACATATGTATGTGTCGGTTCAGAAAGTGGAGGGATTTTAAAGATTTCAAGATCTCCTTCACTTTTTTAAATGGAATTATATATTTTTCTAAATGTTATTTATTACATCTTGTTATTCTCTACAAAAAAGTATTAAGGTGCTTATACCGAAAATTGATCAATTCAAAAGATATCTTAGGGAGAGACCACTAGGCTCCCCTGGCCTCACCCTAAAATCTTTTAAATTAATTAATTTTCGATTCAAGCACTTTAGTACTTTTTTGTAGAGAATAACAAAATGCAGCAATTGACATCAAACGAAATACAAAATTTCCAAAAATATTTTTCACGTTGGAAGATCCTACGTCTCTCCCTAGGATATCTTTTGAATTAATTAGTTTTCGACCAATAACCAAGTACCCAAAGTCTAGTTTATAGTGTACACCAAGTGTCCTAATAATTTTTTGTAGGAAATAAAAAATAGTTTCAATTGATGTATAGAAAAGTATATAGTTCTATTTAAAACAGTGAAGGTGACTTTGAAATCTTTGGAACGTCTCCTCTTCCGGAACCGACGGACACATCAGATGATGCTCCATTCGATACCATTTAATTTTGTCTTATGAAATTTTTCTCTATTTTCTACCATTTTAGAAATATAAACTGCTTCAATTGCATGGGACACCTTGTATTGAACATAAAACGCATTTTAATTGATAAGTTTCACGATCAGTAAAAAGCTCCAAGTCCACGTTCTTATTAATATAGGTACTGCTTGTTCTATTTATGCCCACGTCTTAATTGATTCTGAATAGAGTATTGTCTTTCATTATATTGCAATATTTGAGTCTTATTACGACACATTGGCATCCGCAACATTTCAATACACACAAAAGACCTCTTTATAGGATGAAGTTTGAAAGAAAAATCTTCTCAATATCATTAACCCTTCTGTCTTCTTTTGGGTCGATATGATTCACAATGAAAATTACATTTCCATACGTACTAGATTTTTAGATATTTTTCTTTAAAATGAATTTTAGTTTTATATTTTATATTTCTTAGAAATAACTACAGTAAAGATTCGATTACAGCTCCACCACTGGAGGGGTATATCCCTTGAGATGCCAAAAAGTTCGCTCGTCGAGTAATGTAACATGATCTGGGATCGGATACACCCATATCTCGCTTTACGGCCTACATACGTTCCGGAAAAGTTGGCTGTGAAGCGAAAAGCCGTATAACGAATCAATTATTTTGATACAAACCCATACAAGTTCAATTGGATCTGTTTTTTATAAAATCTGTTTTTTTATTGGACCAATTTTGTATAAAATAATATAGTTTTTAGTTCATAAAGCATTTTATTCTTTCTATTTCCTATAAAAATGCTTACATAAAATTAAAGTACAGCATTTTTTTTGGTTGTATAACGAAACATTGTGGGCCGTAAATCGAAAAAGTGCCATAATTAAAAAAGACCGTATAAAGAGCGGCCGTATAGCGAGGTATAGGTGTATATCAGTAAAGTAATACTAATGCAATGACTAAACTTTGTTATTTTTTAAACCAATGGCCATAAAAGGTATTAGGTACATAATAAAATACAATAATATTAACACCAGATCTAAAAAATTCTTCTAAAATATTTCTATATTGAAAATTTAATTGAATATTTACGACAGATTCCTAATTCCTGTAGGATTTGAACAAACAATCTTTATTTTCAGATATTCCCCGTAGGATGCCTTCGGATGTATGAATTACTAAAAAAAGGTTGCGATTTGAATAGCACATCAAATACTAAAAGAAAAATATACTAAATCGAAATGAATAAACAAAAACTTCAAATAACATCGTTGCCCCATTTCATCCGCACCGTAAATACGTTCAAGTGTAATAGACAGTACCTGTTCCATTTCCACAATCGCCCCAATTATTCCCAGCCACGTATTTCCACTGGAAAACGCATTGAGCACAGGTCAGGTCATCAGGTAATTTGTAAAATGCCTCAAAAATCCTGTTCCCTGGTCCAGGGTAATATCTGCTCGATCCGTTCTCCATACGAAGCAGATGCTGATCCAAGCACTCCTGGTCAACTTCTTTGTCTTTGTAGGTCATCGAACACGTACGAAATTCAAAGTAACCATGATGATTCGCCGTGAGCTCCACGTGGACCGGTATTACCGATCCAGTTCGGTATTTCCTTACTATCACGCTGTTTCCATACTTCCCACCAGTCTCGTGCGGTCGTGGCTGAAAACGGATTAAGGTAAGAGTTATCAAAACAGTCGCGTGACTGTCGTATGGTCTATTAAGATCCGAGATAGAAATATAAAAGAATTCAAGAATGTCGAGTCTAGTTGAGTCGAGTTTCCAAAAATATTGTGCTGTGTAACCCGGCTAACCTTTCTTTGGTTAATACGTTCTAACCTATTCGGCTAGTTGTACCCTTATCAGAGAGCGAGCGATCTTTAATACACTGAGTCTATCGTGGGTCCTTGAAACTGTAAAATTGGTAACAGAGTAAATATATACGGGGTGTTTAAAGGGGTAAATATACGTTGTCAAAATTTATGGTCCATTTCACAGAGTGAGCGCCTTCGGGCACGACCTGATAACTGAAACTGTAGAGGAATATCCAAACCCCTGTTCTTATTTCATCTTTATTTCTCTCGTTAGGATAAGAGAACCTATTCTTATAGGTTTTCCGTAAATTTATCCAAAATCAGGAACAAATGATGAGATACTCCTCCTATTCTAATCCTTAGCCAAAGGATTTCTAGCTACGTTCCTCTTGAATGTACTCGA